CAGATTTGATATTTTTGAATTTATTTAAGGACAAATTTTTTAAAATGGGTTAAAAAAAAAAAATTGGGTCCATGAAAATGTTTTCCAGTTGAGTTGGTATAAATTTGTTTTTGGTAACCGAAGCTGCAAAGTTTCATTTTTTATTGAGTGTTTCTTGAGACAATTAAGCATATGGCTCTATTACCTTTAGATGCTGCTGGTTCATATCTCTGTGGTCACAAACACTGTTGGCTAATTGTGAAGCAGATGGCATATGTGGGAACAGTACTGCATTCCAAATGAGCTCTTTATCAGTTGTTCCCTGAATGTAAGCCAGAATGAGCTTATATTACAGGTGATAAATGGAAGCATACCTGTAGCTGAATGGTAATAGGATCTGTGGTTCAGTTTGCTTGCAACTGTTCAAGGCATATGGGTCTTAGATGTCTTTGTTGTTGTTAAGTGCTGTCGAGTCGATCCCGACGCATAGCAACCCTGTATAGGGTTTCCAAGGAGCAGCTGGTGAGCTTAAACCACCGACCTTGCAGTTCAAACGACTTTGCAGTCTGATGCATTAGCCCACAGTGCCACATCAGGACTCTGTGTACTTAATTGAATATTTCTTTAAAATTATGCCTGGTCATCTGATCAAAGTTACAAGTAATTGTGAAGGTAGGCCGGACAGTGAGATGTAAGAAAATAAGACTGTTGAGAAAAATTAGTCTTTTTGTTGAATTTACATCTCCAGTGGGTCAAGGGAGTGCTGGTATGGCACTGCAGGGTAATGCACTGGACAGTAAGGTCAGTTTGAACCACAAGGTTGGTGGTTCAAACCCTTCAGTCACTCCTCAGAAACCCTATACAGGGTCACTATGAGTCAGAATTGACTCAGTAGAACTTAAGAACAACAACAGTGGGTAGAATGAAAGGAATCGTATGTCCAAGTGAATGTTAATGAGGAAAGGGAACCGGAGATATAGTTTGAGCTTACTGATGAGAATATGACCATCTCATAGAAAGTATTCTCCTAGGTCATTCTTAATCTGAATGTGGCACATTGAGGGTAATACATAATAGTATGATAAGAAATAACACTCCAGATTCTTTTCAATATGAAAAATTCCTGCAGATAACTTGTTGCTACTAAAAATGAAAATCTTCACCTCATACAAACTGTTTAACCACTAGTTTTTGAGATAAATATCTGTGGGTGAGCATTCAGTGTCAAGTTTGAGCTACTTGGTCAGTTCAGTCTCATGACTGTTGTGGTAGCTGAGTCCTGATTCTAGAGAATCTCCTGACCAGACATAATCAACAAATGACTGTTGTACTTGAGTCTCCTACCAGAAGCAAATCTTACTAAGAAAAGACCATGTAAGTAGTTTGGGTAACCATTTGTTTCCAGCAAGAGTTCAGATGCAGACATTTCAGTACTTGGTATTAGTGAGCAAAAAGAAAAATACCTAGAAATTGCATCGTCTGAGGGATAAGACTGGGCGGTAGGTGGGTTGTCTTAAAGGTGAAGTCCTGAGAGAAAAGCCGTCATTTCACTTCTTTCCTTTTGAGTTTAGCTCTATGAATGTAAATAGTCATAGGACAACTCAGAGAGGCAACTGAAAAATAATGAGAGCTTGTTTTATGTTTATGAAGTATGTCTGTCTGCATTACAGAAGGAGATAATACCCTGATAATTTATCATATATATTGGGGACCTGGTAAAGTTTCTTACATGTACAATGTAACTGAAATCTTACAAACATCTGGCAAGAAGAACCAATTCCCAGTTTAACAGCTGATGAGAAAACTTTAGCTCTAGTTAAGTATCTGTCCCATATTAGCCAATGGTTGTGTTCTCTATTTCCAAATATCACCTTGTCTTATGAGACATTTAAAATACAAAACTGATCATTTAGGTTTTTATTACTTTAAAATAATTACAGACTTAAATCCTGTCTACTTAAACTGCAGGTCTGCCAAAAATTAAACTAAAGCAGCATCTTATTTGTGGTTCATAAATTCATATGTAATTCTCTGGTTTCATACACAAAAACTTAAATACTGTACCTCTTATATATATGTGCTTTATTGAAATGCCTATGTAAATATACAAACTTTAGATTGTTATATGTTTTAACATTATAATAAAATCTCATTTTGATTTTACACCAGATTCAGCATGGTTTTTCACAAACCCCAAATTTTGTTATTCTAATAAGGTACTATAGTAGCAAAAGAAAACCTTTAAAATATTTAGGTTTCCACTAAATCAATTCTCACTAACATATAATTAATTAAATCCACCTGTGGCTAGGTGGGCAGGAGGCTCACGAGGAAAACAGGCACAGAACCTTCCAGAAGGGAGTCTGAGCTGTTGTTGTTCAGGTCTCCTACTATCAGAACCAAGTCTGAAAAATTCTATTTTGTAGTTGCCTGGCATTTATTAAAAGAACTCTGGTGGTGCTGTGGGATGAGCATTGGGCTACTAACCCCAAAGTCAAAGGTTCAAACTCACTACTTGCTTTAAGGGAGAAAAATGAGACTGTCTGCTCCCAAAAAGATTTACAATCTGGAAATCCTAAGAAGCATTGCTACTCTGTTCTGTTGAGGGTCACTATGAGTCAACATCAACTTGATGGTAGTGGGTTTGGGTTCAGCATTTATTAAGTACAGATTGATGCAACAATAATTTAGATGTATTGTAGTGTGGCACTGTAGTATAAGGAAGGTCGCCGGTTCAAACTCACCAGTCGCTCCTCAGAAACCATATGCAGGGACACTGTGAGTCAGAACTGACTCTATGGCATTTAACAGCAACAACAAGCTATGTATCTGCACCAAATTAGCGTAATGAGATAAATAAGGCCTCTTTGCTGTTACCGTTTTACCTTTAGAATTGAAACACTTATATGGATTTTTTTTCTTCTTCCTCTTTCAATTAAAGCTGTCTCAAAGATACTCACTCATTCAATTTCCAAGTTACTTAACTATAGCAGGGATACTTCCCCACATCACAGCGACGACTTTGAGGAGCCAAGTGCCTCGTGTGTATTTCCGGGTCAGTTCTGACGCATAGAGACCCTATGTACAGCAGACGGAAGTGCTACTCGGTACTGAGCCATCCTCACAATTCTTATGGTGACCCCGCTGCTGCAGCCACTGTATCAGTTCACCTCACTGATGCTCTTGTGTGCTGACCCTCTACTTTACCTAGGATCATCTCTTCCCACAGATAGAGTCAATTTGATTCCTGTGTACTCCATCTAACAAGATCCAGGTAAAACCGGTCCAGAAAAAGATGAACGCTTAAGAAGGATTAAAAAGTACAGGTAACATACATATTACCTGACTGTTCTCAAAACATGCCAATGATTGTGAAGGGAATACAGGACCTGGTGAATTTTCATTCTGTAGGCTTCCATACAACAGAGCCGACTTAATGTCTGCTAACAAAATAACAGATATGTATATTACATGTGGCTCCCTGCTCAAAAGCTGCTCATAGAAAATGTGTTGCCTGCCAGACCTTCAAATGCACATGTTTTGTGTGACTTTCTGTACATTATCCCAAACTGGTCAGTTGGACAATAGAAAGAATGTTCTTTTATAGATCTGACGTGAATGTGGACTGATTCAATACTGATCCTGTGTTTAAGCTTTTGTTATTTTGATACTTTGGGAGTATTCTGATTTATATTTTTTTAAAAGAAATGTTATGTTGAAAGTTTATTTGTTGTGATTACTGAGTTTTTGTGGGCTTTTTTTGTCACTCTCTTAAATTTTATGGTCAAGGCTAATATGTCTCACACTAGTCCTGTCCCGGGTCAGTTCTGTATGCTGAGCAAATAATACGAGAAGCTGGGTTCTATGAAGAAAAACGTGGCATCAGGATTGGAGGAAGACTCATTAACAACCTGCGATATGCAGATGATACAACCTTGATCGCTGAAAGTGAAGAGGACTTGAAATATTTACTTATGAAGATTAAAGAGCACAGCCTTCGATATGGATTGCATCTCAATGTCAAGAAAACAAAAATCCTCACCACTGGACCAATAAACAACATTCTTATCAATGGAGAAAGGATTGAAGTTGTCAAGGACTTCATTCTTCTTGGATCAACTATCAACACTCGCGGAAGTAGCAGTCAAGAGATCAGACGACGTATTGCACTGGGCAAATCTGCTGCACAGGAACTTTTTAAAGTATTGAAGAGCAGAGATGTCAGCTTGAGGACTAGGGTGCGCCTGACCCAGGCCATTGTGTTTTCAATAGCCTCATATGGATGCGAAAGCTGGACAGTGAATAAAGAGGATCGTAGAAGAATTGATGCCTTTGAGTTGTGGTGTTGGAGGAGAATACTGAGGGTGCCATGGACTGCCAAAAGAACCAATAGATCTGTTTTGGAAGAAGTGCAGCCAGAGTGCTCCTTGGAGGCCAGGATGGCTAAGCTTCGTCTCTCCTACTTTGGACATGTAGTCCGGAGGAAACAATCGTTGGAGAAGGATGTCATGCTGGGTAGGGTGGAGGGTCAGAGAAAAAGAGGAAGACCTCCAACGAGATGGATCGGCCAGGTGGCATCATTGATGGACTCGGGGGTGGCAGCGGTGGTGAGGTTGGCCCAGGATCGAACATTGTTTCGTTCTGCTGTGCATGGAGTCACTATGAGTCGGTTCCGACTCGATGGCACCTGACAACAACAACAGTCCTGTCCCGGGGAATCTTGTGAAGATATAGATTCACATTAATTATATCTGGGGTGGAAATGCAAAATCATATCAGGGAGAATATATCTAAGTGCACAGTGCTGAATTTTACATTCAAACGAACTTGGTATTTTGTATCACTCACTTCCACCTTTTGAATTCATTTGTATAATTTAATGGAGTGTCTGGTGCACAATTTAAGGTTTATAAATAGTTGGCTGGGATGTACAGTTGCAATATAATTTCAATATATCCATCCTAACTGTCAAATTTTTTGATTAAAGGTTTATGCTCGTCTAAGCTCCTCGTGGCAAAACAATGGAGTTGATCAACACAACCACCTTGCCCAACAGCTTCACTGCAAAACTAGACACCTGTGACTTGCGCTGTCGGATGATTCTGATAGTACTCTATAGCGTGGTTTTGCTCGGAGGCACTGCTGGAACAGTTATGATGTCACGGATGATGTTCAAAAGGAACAGTCAGTCACTGATTGCCATAATCATCATCAATATCATAGTGCTACATTCGATCCTTCTGGTCACCCTTCCATTCCGACTCAGTTATTATGTCTCAGTTGTCTGGGACTTTGGACCATTTACCTGCCGACTGGTGAGCAGTATAATATATGGTCACATGTACCTTACCTTTGTCTTTTATGTGGCCATTGTCATCTTCCGACTACTTAACTATTTTAAAAAACTCCAAATGCAATGCTTGCAGAAGTACCACATGGTAGCTCTATGCATTTTTATTTGGATGGTGGGGAGCTTCATTTTTTTGCCAATTTTTTTTTTACATTATGGTATCGATCCAAGTCACTCACAACAACAACGATGTTTTGAGTTCCACAAAGCTTTCAACCATGGACATTTCAATGTCTTAAACTATTCTATGGTTGCCATTATGATGACAACAGTTGTGGCCCTCTTTCTAGTACAGATGGTGGTCATCTATCAATTGATTAAGGCTCTTTGGCCTGACATGTGGTCCCATCAAGAGTACAGAGCTCAAATCAAGAGCTGCTTCTTCCTCCTAGTAATAATTGTCTGCTTTATACCCCACCATGCATTTCGAATATACTTCATTCAAAAGTATCCAGAGAGTAACAATTCTGAATTAGTTCTTTATAATGAAATTTGTGTTGCTTTAACTACTGTCTGTTGCTTAGATATGCTGTGTTTCATAGGTGGAGTGATTCATTAAACACCTACTTCGCTTACTTGGTCAGCAGCCTCCCCACTATTCTGACAAAATAGTTTCAATTTGATGAGTGCCACTGTGATTTCAAAGTTTTTCAAATTTTCTGCTCTTCACTGTCACCAAAATGACTTTTCAACTAAAAGTTAGTGATTATATTCATCGCCTTAGAGAACTGTAACCACTCTCCATTAACTATAGAATGCATTCAGTCTCCTTAGCCCTGCACAATTAGCCTCCTTCAACCCTTCAAGACTCAACCCTTACCTGTCCCCTCTACAGCCTATTCCCTATACATTTGATCTCGCTTGAGTTCTGGTCTTAGAATGTTTTTTTCTCTCCATCTCCAAACTTTAGTCATTCTTCAAGGTCCAGACAAACTGTAGATGAACTGAACTCTGGAGAGGCCTTAACTTACTCAACTTGTACTTGAGAAAGTGGTCTTTTGAAGACAACTGGCTTTGGTATTCAGAGGAAAGTATTACCTCAGATAGAGTAATCAAGAGAGGTGGTGGTAGTGTTTGCATGCCACTTAGTCTGTTCTGACTCATAGCGACCCTGTATGGTCTCCGAGGCTATACATTTTTATGGCAGCAGAAAACCTCATCTATCTCCTACACGGTGACTGGTAGATTCAAACTGCTGACCTTGCGTATACCTGTCCAGCTCATAATCCACTAGGCTACCAGAGCTCCTTTAAGATAGCCGTAAAAACCGCTTTAAGAATGATTAAAAGTTACTGAGATTTGCTTGTAATTGAGATACAGTATATACTGAGACACCTGAGGTTCCCTTCCAGATCTAGCCTCTCAGACATGGATCCATTAAACAGGAAAATTAAATTAAATTAAATTAAATTAAATTAAATTAAATAAAGGAGGAAGAAAGCAGCTAAACTTTAATTTAATCTAAGCTTGCCAGGAGAATATATGCTGCTAATTGCTGTAGCGTCAGTTCCGACTCATAGCAACCCGAGGGTTTCCGAGGAATGATGTGCATTTGAACTGCTGACCTTGTAGTTCAAACTGACCTTGCAGTCCAGTGCTTATGCTACAGCACCACGCCAGAACTCCAGCAGACTATATTAGAGCCCATTTTGAGACTGTGAACTATGCTTACGCTTTTCTAAAGAACCCTATGTGTGCTTGGCTACTAACTAACCCACCAGTCATTCTGTGTGAAAAAGATCTGGCAGTCTACTACTATAAAGATTGTTGTTGTTAAATGCCATCAAGTTCGTTTTGATTTGATGTGTAGGGTTTCTGTGTAGTGGCTGAAGGGTTTGAACCACTGACCTTGTGGTTAGCAGTACAGTACTTATTCTATAGCACCATATGGGGCACTACTATTCTGTCTTGTAGGGTCACTATGAGATGGAATCTACTTGATGTCAGTGGGTTGGGTTTTGGCTTTTTTATAACCAACACATGTTTCCTAAGTAAAACCAGCACTGAAATAGACTAAACTAAATAAAAACAAGCAAGACAGCCAACTTAGATCCTAATTACTTAATATAGAATTTGACTTGCTCTTACAATTTGGTTATAATAATGCTATCTTTGAGACTTTATATGTGTGGAATCTAATAGCCAAACAGTGTCCTAAGTGGTGAGGAACACTTGTGGCACAATGGTTAAAATTCTTGACTGCTAATCAAAAGGTCAGTGGTTCGAACCCACCAACAGCTCTGTGCGAGTAAGTTATGTCAGTTACTTCCATAAAGATTTATGAGCCTTGATACCATTGGGGGCAGTTCCAGTTCTACTGCCCTAGAGGCTCGCTATGTGAGTTAGAATTGATTACATGGCAGTAGGTTTGGGGGCCCTCAGTGGTTAAGAAGGCAGCATCATTTATGTAAGAGAGTTTACGTAAGGAGTAACTCAGACTTCTGAATTCAAAACCCAAAGATCTTGAAATATTTAAAATCCCTGAGTCTGTTTCTTGTGTTATAGGAGTATGGCACGGCTGCAACAAGACAACATGTATGTACTAAATGCCTGGAGTAGTGTCTGCTATGTGGTACTCAAAAATAATATTAGTCTTGCAGTATCTCAAAAGAGGAAACCAATCTCTGCTGCAAGAGTTATTCCCACCCCCTCCACACAAAGAGTGGATAGGGATGGGCACCCAAAATGGGGGGAGGGATACAAAGGTTAAGAAGTGACTACCCAAAATGGGGGGAGGGATACAAAGGTAAGAAGTGACTGGCTTACAAGCTTTCGAGAGGGAACCTAGATCCAAAGGGCGTGGAGAATGGTGGAGTCTCCAGTGAATAGTATCCAGCCTATCCAGGAAGGGCTGATGAAATGAAATACAGATGGGTCTCTTGTGATGCAATAGTGAAGAATTGTTATTAGGACTGATTGTGAGGGTTGGAAATGTAAAGTTGGACATTTTATAGCAAGGAGGGAGTGATTAACTTTTCAGTCTAGGAGCGGAGGGCCCTGGGACCATCCATCAATGGAGAAGAGTGGAGAGCGGAACCCTACCCAGAGAAGCAGTGATGCCTGAGATGGAGACAGAGAAGATGACGTGAAGAGATGGAGTGGCTGGGGACTTAAGATCCAGAGAGGGAAAGGGGATGTGTGCTGAGGACCGTGGGGAGGTGGGGGGGGAAGCTTGCAGGGTAAACCCTTTGGTTGGGTGATGATGCATGGATGGGATGGTAACTATGGCAATGAAACGATGTATGATAGAATGAATGTAAAACTAATGTTCCCCCGTGTGAACTATCACACAATTCACAATAAAACATTTATTTAAAAAATAATAATTAAATAATTTTAGTCTTCTATTCTAATTCACTAATAACTTTTCACAAGAAAATTCCACTACAAGTTCAAACAAAACAAAATCAACAAATGCCAAGCTAGTTGCCACTGAGCTGACTGACCTCAGCTCCTGACAAGCCCATGAGTTCCAGAGTAGAGCTGCACTCCCTAGTCTTCATGACTTTTAACTTTTGAAAGCAGATCTCCAGGTTTTTCTTCCAAGCACCGCTGACTGGGTTTGAGTCACTAAGCTTTGGTTAGAAGTCGAGTGTTTAACTGTTTGTGCCACCTATGGTGTTGTGGGATAATGCACTGGACTGCGAGGACAGTTTGATCCGCAAGGCTGGTGGTTCAAGCTTACCAGCCACGCCTCAAAAACCCTATACAGAGTCACTGTGAGTCAGAACCCTAGATGACACATAACATCAACAACAAAGATGTTAATACAGGTCCAAAACCCCATAATGTGTTTATGTATATCTAGGAAATAAGCTTTGGTGGCTCAGATGATAATGGTTAATGTTGATCTACTGCTTTATGCCATTGTTAAATCAGTAACTAAATGGATGCTGATTCCTCTTTCTACTTTTAATAATAACTTGCCATTATTATCATGCTGCCTTCTTGGGCATCCCCACTCTCTTCTTCACTATATTTTGAACTGCTTTACTTTGGAGGAAGCCAGTGGAATGTAAAGAACAGCCCAGTGGAGAAGCCCATGTGGCAACAGATTGAGATCTGTCCAACAGCCAAGTCGTGTGAGTTAACTTTCAAGTGGATCGTCTGAGATTTGCCAACAGCCATGGGAGTGAGCTCAGAGAGCTTTCTGCTCCCGGTTGAGTTTTGTGATGACTGCAGCCCTGGTTGTCAGATTGACTACAGCCTCCTGACAGAACTGGAGCCAGAACCTTCCAGATAAGCTACTCCTGGATTCCTAACCCACAGAAACTGTGAGCTAATAAACTTTCTTGTTTTATGCCATGAAGTTTGGAAAGACAATTTTTATTTGTAATATATAACTAATACTGTAAGTCAATTATTTGCACCTGTACAATGCTGCCACATAAAGTATTTTTGTGCTAAATGTAAGATGTCATCCCCGGTGGGCAGACAGATGACAGAAAGGTCCCTCTTCCACAGGCTGCAGAAGGGAGGGCCACTTGGATTGCTGCTCCAGCTCATCTCCTTCACTGGACTGCTTATAGAGCAGTGGTTCTCAGACCAGACATGTACATGTTACACTCTAGTTGTTTACACCTTGGGAAATGACTTCTCAATGACCATAGGTACAATTGGCAACAGATGCCACATTAGCCTTTCTATACTTTATTGATTGCAAATGAATCCGTGGTTGTCTACTTCCTCAAAGCAGGGGAGCATCTCATACAAAGGGCTGTATGTTTCATTCCTTCTTTGGGCCTAAGTTGGCTCGATGGGAACTTTATCTTTATGGTCCTATCCCATTCCTTCTTTATCCTGACATTTCTTTTCTCACATCTCTTACTTCTGAGTTTGGCAACTTGATGGTCAGCCTCTGCTTGTTCCAGTTGCTAATGATAACTAATACATCATAATCTGTTTAAGGTAGAAACAAAGAGAAAAGTTGAAGAGGGTATGAGGTGGATGGGAATTATATAAGTACTTTTTAAGTCATGTTGTCCTATAGATCCTGGCTTCTCCAAGTATGGTCCCAGGACTAGTAACATCAGAATAATCACCTAAGGCTTTATTAGAAAGGCAAATTCTCAAGCCTCAACCAAGTCCTACTGATTCAGAAATTCTGGATGTGAAATGAAGCAATTTGTGTTTTAACAAGACTTTTAAATGATTCTAATGCAGGCTAAAGCCTGAAAATCTCTGCTGTAGATTGAGTTTGAAGATTGAAAATGGACACCCATTGAAAGGTGGAAGCTATATCCTCTACCCCTCAATCTGGATGGAATTTATAATTTCTCGAGCCAAGAGGGCATACAAAAAGTGGCACTTTGCCAGATTGCAGATACAGGCTTTGAAGACTGCAACCTTCCATTTCCTGTCTCTTGGAACACTCACTCTTGAAGTCTTGAGCTGCCATGCAGGAAGTTAGACTACCTTGCTGGAGGGAACACCTGAAGATACTTGAGATGAATGGCGAAGAGAACACTATGAGCCCAATAAATCCGGCCTTCCAGCCAAAGAGCCAGGTGAGTAAGTGAAGCATCACAAGCCCTCCAGTCATGTGAATACCATTGTGTG